TTCAAAGGCTTTCATTTTAGCATGCATCCATGTAATTGACTCAGTTGGTGTTGACATTCTAATGTCATCACTGCTTAACTACCTCTCTCTTGTTGAGAGATCCGCTGCTGAAAAGGCTGTCCAGGGCACAATGGAGGAAAGTGATGAAGACCTGAATGACCTTTTTATACTTCCTCCCTCTAGAGAACAACATGGAGGTTGCCATGCTTGTGAGGGTGAGATGGATGTCGACATGGGACAAAGAGCCCCTTTCTGTGGGCTTCCCCGGCAGGCTGTTCCAGCTTGTGAGGGTGAGATGGATGTTGACGTGGGAGAGAGCCTCTTTCTGTGGGTGTTCCCCCACAGGCTCTTCCAGCCTGTGAGGGAGGAATGGATGTCAACTTGGGACGATGGAGCTGTAGTAGAGCCTCACAGTTCAGCAGAAAAACTGAATTCACAAACCTTGTACATTATACTACTCTATATCATATTAAACGTGTTTCTTTTTTCCATTATCTGTGCCATCTTTTATTAGCTGCTGTCATTTGTCAGGGCACGTACCATACCTTTCTAATTCTGTGTTGGGCTGCAGGTGTATTCACAGGCCATTACAGTTCACTCCAGTTCCACCTAACCAAAGGTGTGGATTGTACATACTAGCTACATTGTTATGTTTAGCTGTAACATGGAATGAGCTAATTCTGTTCCAGATTAATGCAATCTTCTGACATGTAAATTATTTATTGCCTAACTACTCAGACAAATAATTACATAAAGTGTTGGCAAATCTAGTCATAGGCCCTGCAGTGCCTCATTTTCTCCTGCTGTAATATCAAAAGAGCTTGATGCCAAACCCAAAAGTGGAAGCTCATTCAAGAAGTCACAGCGAATTTACAATTTTTTTAATCTCTGCACTCATTAAGCACTTTCAAACATGCCTTGATGGCAGTCTGTGGAACCTTGTGGAAGACAGAGTGTCGCATGGCAAGAGGAGCCTCCTCAGTGTGTGAAGCCAACAGAACAAATTCACCGTAGCTTTGTGTCCTCATTTTGAAAACGAGAAGGCTCAGAATAATGTCTTCCACTATCAGTTGTATGAATCTGGTGTTTTGTACAAGAACTGACAACAATTGCACACAGTACTATCTTCTATTATAAGGATAAGGATAATCATCTTTATTGGCCAAGTATGTTACACACAAGGAATTTGTTTCTGGTACAGAACCGATGGCAGCCATCTGCGGCGCTACCTCAACCAGGCTGGGTTTCGCTGAGCACCAAAGGCAGAGCGTCAAGGGGTGGGAGTGCTCCAACTGCATCCGTGTCCACCACACCTGGGGTCCAGGGTGGGTCCTCAGGGCAATGTGAATGTTCAGATAATGTAAATCAACAATGTACAGCAACACTAAGTCAGCTGAGGGACTGCTTATGTCCCACCATTAAAATTAGCATCATTTTACCTTGTCATAGGTATCTGCGCCACCCACTTACCAAGCAACATCACCTAAACATGCTGTCCCAGCACTCACTACTGTAGAATTTTAGCTTTGCTTTGCTAAAATTCTTAGTGCTTTCATTCAAAATGCCACAGACCTACAAAGGCAAGAGTGGTGCTCAAAGATATTTATTTATTTACTGTAACATGCCAGGACAATGCTTTGCTCTGCTGCTGACTGCCAAATTGCCAAAGCTGGTTTATGTCTGTTCATGCCCACTGCTCAAAGTAGGTTGGTACACACAAGTATGCAGTACCAGTTGTTTTACATTTTATTCTTTTGCGTAAGAAACTTCTTGCATCCCAGCACTTCTCACAAGTTGCCAGTACTCTTCCACCAACCCTGGGGGTTGGCGGAAGAGTGTCATTTGAGATAATATGTGTCTCAGTTGGACAGCGGACAAGAGCAGATGACATGCGCAGGGGGTGGTAACAGCTCCAGTTAGGACAGACAGTTTATGGGCTTTGTACCACCAAGACACTTGACCTCCAGCAGTAACAACAAATATTGATGTTGGTTGGTCCAAAATAATCATGATTCACAGTTCAGTTAAATTCTAATCATAAAACAAACTACATACAAATTTGAACTAAAAACAATGAAAGTTGGACTCCACATCTCATATTTTCCTGTCCTTTATTTCTCATCCCAGGGCACAGGAGTTGCTGTTTTAAGGTTTACTTGCACAATTAAGAATCTCATTTAACTTCCTCTATTTTTAATTACAGCGTTATACGGTGTCCCTGTAGCAGGGACACCGTATAACAATATATTGCTGTTTGTCATAATAATCCATTTTAGTTTCAGTTAGCATAGGTATGGATTAAATAACTCAGGATCTGGCAGTTAATCTGGCATCCCTCAAAGTGTTTCTCTTCCAGCAGACTGCTCCCAGGCCTCACACATTACAACCACAACAGTGGCCAAGAGCTTGAAGTAAATATTTCAACAAGTTGTATTTCAGGAGCAACACTGTATTTGTTTGAACCATTCTCTGGTTATGTGTTGCACATCCTTGCTGTTATCTGCCAGTGACTTTACTGCTATAAATCTTAAACAAACAACACTGTAGCACAGGCCAAATTTAAAGGCAGAGGATAGCTGGCTGAGATAAGGTGCATCAGTGGAGAGGGAGGAGAGGAGAGGTCAGTGACATCTACAATTGATTATACTGGTGGTGGTGAGTAAAGTGGCTGGAAAGAGGGGAGCCATCGGCACTCAAGCTGTGGAAAATCTATATGAGAGTGTGTCACAGCCTCATCTATGGGATTTCTGTAAAAGATAGAAACAAGTTGGGCTGTGGAAGTATAAGATTATGGCACAAATTCACTCTGACATACTGTATTTATGAAGCTGAAAGATGAAATAACAAAAACAGAAGGGGATGCTTTTGACTTTATATTCTTTCTGTGCAGTATTGCTCATACTGACCTGGTGAATACTGTATTTGTGAAAGTGGAGTAAGTGGCTGTGTACGTGTCTCAGTCCTCATTCTAAAATCAAAGCTTAACCACAAATGAGTAAGTCAGAGCATGTAGCCAGTCTGAGACAGCTGCTGAGAGGGAGAGTGAATAATGTGAGGTCATTTGCGTGCCTGACTCTGTGTCTATACATGTAAGCCTGGTGGAATCTCCCACTCTGATGCAGCTTCCTGTTGGATGCCTCAGACAGGAAGCAGCATCAGTGTCCTCCCACAGGCAGAATAATGCTCTTCATATCCAAGGTAATGAGGAGGTCAGTTAGTACATCATCATTCATGTCCCATGCGGTGAACCTAACCAGGGGGAGCCTAATTTGTAATTGAATATAATGAACAGACAATGTGCTCTGAACAGATATAAACAACATCTAAAGGTGTGTCATGATAGTCAGTTTGACTCAAACTCATTTGCTGGAATCAGATGAACTCAGTTTTTCCAGTGATCTTAGTATTACTGTTCAGATCTTGGCTCATTATTATCAGACACTGTCTGTATCAAAAGCAGTCCAGGAGACTGCACATTAATGGTACCACGAATAAGAACTAGCAGTAGCTAAATTATGACTCATCATGGTGAGGATTCACTGAAATGGAAAGAAGAGCACACCCTCCCACACACATTGTGTTCAGACTATGTTGTTGGACTATGATTCCTCTTGTTCTTCTGTGTCCTTATAAGACGTAGTTATTCTTTCAAAGGGCTAGGACCTTTCACCTCGTCTAAAGGACACCCCCTTATCAACAGCACCCACTCTACCAAATGCCAATTATCTTTTAGAAATGAGACATTTGTTCAGTTCCAACCAATTATACCAGGGCTTTGATCTGACCAATCACTGAGCAGAATAGATATTGATCAGTGATTACTAGCCAGTCAGAGACCCTAAGAAACGCACTGTTGAATAGGATGTGAGTTTAGAAGTCATTTGCATTGCCTGAAGGCACACAGTGACTTCTGATAAGACTGATTAAGAATGATTCAGCTGATAGTACATATGAGGTGTTTATTTTTTAGTACTTTGCCATTCGACAACCTTGATTTGATTTGATTTATTCTTTCAAACATGTAACAACAGTCAATATGTCAACACACATAATTTCACACATATCCACAAATGCATTATTAATTTGCTTATACCTAGTACATGCTTGAATGGAGTAGGAAGAAGTTAGACTTATCTAGTCCTACCCCATAACATCATCTTACCATGCAAGCAGTATTTCTACATAGATAATTTTGTTCTACACCACGCTAGTGATATACTAAAAAATATTACAGACTGTTAACATTCTTACATAATTACATTCTTTGATAATTATCTTCTACATCACACAAGTAGAAATATTACATAGTGTTAACATTCTTAGACCACACCCACAATGTTACACCTGATTAATCGTTAAACCTGTTCTTGCATATATCTTGAATGACACATACCTTTATATTTATGTTTAAACTCATCAATTCTCTTACTGTTTTTATGTCCACATTTAAATTATTCCATAGTTTTACCCCACTTATGGAAATACAGAATCTTTTTTTGGTTGTACGTATAGCATGAATTTTATAATTCAACTGACCCCTTAAATTGTATCCCCCTTCCCTTTCATTAAATAGTTTTTGAATTCCACCAGGTAACAAATTGTTCCTGGCTTTATACATAAACACAGCAGTCTTATATCCCACTAAATCAAAAAATTTTAACAATTTAGACTGTATGAAAGCTCCATTGGTGTGATCCCTATATCTCATCTTATGCACAGTTCTTATCGCTCTTTTTTGTAATATATACAATGGTTGAAGTGAGCTTGTGTATGTGTTTCCCCAGTTTTCAACGCCATACTCCAAGTATGGTAAAATCAGTGAAGAATACAAAATACGTAGTGCTTT